TCCATAAAATGCGTTGCACAAATTCGAACATCTGGGTTGTGCTGTTCTGTTGTAAATAAATCTTAACCAATGATTCCTAATTGCATCTACTTCCGGAAGGCCAAATAAAGTGCTTTTGCTTTCGCACTGAAACACAGCGTCTCCCTGACATGGCTGCATCAACACTACTGCACTACTGCTGTTCCTGAAACCACGCCTTCTTTCATTGTGTGCACATTTGGGCGGCATTATGTTAATATTTCCACATAGTGACGTAGATATGTGGGGGTGTGTTAGAACGAGCCGTTTTAGGTAGGCGTGGTTGACTTAACTTTTATAAAGAATATCTCTTTGGATTTGAGACTTTAGTCTTTGCAACTTTACAGATCTTCTTTATGCACCAAGAGCTTGTAACACTCCAAAGAGAAAGGAAAAATTTTAATCGCATCATATGACACCTTTTAGTTAATGGTGTTTGTCACAGTTTCATTCATGGATCCTTTATGTCAGATACGACTGACTGACCAATATTGACTAGCCTACAACTTGGATAAGATTCCTAAAAGTTTCACATACAGCACACATTACAGACATTGATGCACAAACGCAGATATGTTCTACAGTCCAGTCTTATAAACTCCTTGATTTCGCTTAAGCAACTTTAAATATAATATGCATGCACAATAAACTATATTGTAACATTTATTTACATCACTCACAGGAAGGTTTTTGCAGGTTTTAATAAAACGTAACTTAATAATAAGCATATTTCCACATTTTACAAGTTTTGGATGGATAGGTAATGTGAAGGCAAGAATTTATTTAGAATTGCAATATTTTTTGGACATGTATAATTTAAAATTGTTTTGTATTGTGTTGTGTTGTATTGTTTTTCTTTTGTTTTAATTTATATACAAATGCAACAAAAAATTAGAATTTTGTGTGTTGTTGCTGTTACAAAAAGTTTGTTTCTTTTGGTGTTCTTTTTTTAATATATTTTTTTTTTATATATATACAGTATATATATATATATATATATATATATATATATATATATACTGTACATATAGCCATTTATTATTATTAGTAGTAGTAGTAGTACTCATAATAGAATCAAATAAATTTTTTGCATTAACAAACAAGTTATATTTTTTTGTCAATCTCTAATTCACAATAAGAACCAAGAGATTTACATTAAATTGATGAGTCTTGAGTCCCTTGGATAGAAATTCTCACTGTGGATATAAAATATATAAAGCACGAATAAAGCACGTAACCCCTTATAATCTGTTATGTAAAGTGTACAGTCATAGTCAGAATTGTTGGTATGATAAATATGAAAAGAAAAAAAAACTGAAAAGAAAAATATAAATCTGCATCGTTAATCCTCTTGATCTTTTATTTTAAAGATTTTTTTAAAAATCTAACCTTTCATTGAATCATGAAAATTTAAAATGGGGGAAAATTAATAAAATTAATGTTTTTCTCTTAATACATGTTGGTGCTACTCCTCTTCAGTTCACCCTACTCATTTTCTATAGGATTCAGTCTGAAATGACCATGGTAGAAGCTTCATTTTCTGCTCAGTGACCCATTTTTGTGTTGATTTTGATATTTGTTTTTGGATCATTGTCTTGGTGGAAGATCCAGCCATGGCCCATAATAAGATTTCAGCAGGGACAGTCAGGTTTTGATTTTTTTTCTGTTGGTATTTGATAGAATCCATGATGGCATATCTGAACAAGATAAAAATAGGCCCATAACAATAAGATCCAGCAATATATTTAACCATAGACATACTTTTTCATCCCTGTGTACACCAAGCCCATACTGAGTGTTTGTTGCTAAAAAGTTCATTTTTTAGTTTCATCTGACCATAGATTTTTTGGGGGGCTTTCTGACCTCTAGACTAACTGTTTTCTGCAGTTCTCCAACTGTAATCCTTGGAAAGTCTTTGGCCTCTCAAACTATCCTTCTCGCCTTGCTTTATAACAATAGAGACACACGTCCTCTTGCAGGCAGATTTGTAATTTTCTGTTGGTTGGAACTTCTTAATTATGCCCTGATGGTGGAAATGTCAATGCTTTAGCTATTTTTTTTACACTCACTTTCTAATTTGTGAAGCTCAACAATCTTTTGCTGCACATATCACATCATGATTAAGGGAATTTAGCCTTTGTGTTGCCTTATATTTATACTTCTGTGAAACAGGAATGGCTAGAAAAATGTATGTTCCTAGTCACCCTGGTGTGAAACTGTAAATATGAATGGGAATATACTTTAGAGATATTTACATAAGAATTTCTAAAGGTACCAACAACTGTGTCCATTATTACA